GGGGGGTGCTCTTTCCCAACCACGCTTGATGGATCAGGTCCCGCCCCACCCGCTGCTTATGAACTAAAGTCAAAGCCACTTAGCATGACACATGGGGCTCCTACTGGCCCGGTCCCAGCTACTCTGCCCCTGGCCTGCTCCTCGTGAAGCCAGCAGTCCCACCATGCTTGGCTTCCGGCCTTCCTCCCACATGCCCTTCACCCACCCGGCCCCTCATCTGGAGAAGAACTCCTACACAGCATGCGAAACTTAAGCAGCCCCTCCTCCAGGAAGCCCCCGCTGCCCTCCAAGGGGGCTTTGTCTGCCTCTGCATGCTCCCCCATCACTGAATTCTGAATCCTCACCCTGCCCTCCTTTCCGACCCCATCTAGCTGGCTGGATTTGCCCAGACCTGTTCGCAAGGGAAGGGCAGCCAACGGGCTTTCTAAGAAACGGAGCCGATGGGTCACCCCACTGGTGTCTGCCACCCTCAGACTGACGTGGAGTCCAAAAATAAGTCAGCACTGTGCTTTTCATTCTGTGTTTTCACTCCAGAGTGCCCGCCTCATCTCCGGGACGAGGGAGCATCGTGTGTAAGGCAGGCCATCTGCCCACTAACACTCGAAGATGACTGAGGATAGCGAGAGCGCGTCTCGGGCACACGTGAGCCCAGGCACGGCCCTGGCCCTCCCGGGTTGTCTCGCACCACCAGGGACCTGCTCCGTGTGCCAATCGTGTCCTGCGGCTTCTCGAACAGAGCACCAGGCTGGTGACTTCAACCCTCCGCATCAATCCTCTCCCAGCTTGGAGGCCCAACGTCCAACATGCAGCTGTCAGCGGAGCAGAGCTGATTCCCAAGGCACATGGGGAGACGCCTCCTTGGTGGCCAGAAGCTCCGTGGCAGGGAGCTGCATCAGCCCGACCTCTGCCACCATCTTCCGGCCGTGTCCCTTCCACACCCGTGTGTCTGGGTGTGTCCGTAAGGGGCTTGTAGCCTGTCGTCTCTACCAAGCAAATAGTCTGATCTTTGTCCCGCAGAGGTGCTGGCTGGGTTAGAACGGCCAGCCTTCCCATTGTCAGCCTGGGTTTAAGCACTGTCCCACCAGCGTGCCTTACCATGGGGATGCTAACTCTCTCCAAGCGTCAGACCGTGTCTGGGAAGGAGGGCACCCACGCCACCATGGGCTGAGAACCTGTGGCGCTTTCCTGGGGTCTTCCTGACACAGTATCTTTTGTCATCTCTTTAGCTTTTCTGAGGATGCCATTGGGGTTCAGAGATGCTGAGTAACTTACCATGCTCACACCAGGAGCCAACGGAGGGGAGGAGACCTCTGGGAAAGGATTCTAACTTGGGGCAACGCTCTCAGCATCTTCATGAGCTCTCTGGCCTCTCTTACTTCACCACACACACAGGCCAGGGGCCTCCTGTGATCCTGGGCCCCCAGCACAGCCACTGCCTCACTCTGGTGGCTCCTGCAGCCTGCTCCAGTAGAGGGTGGGGCTCGAAGCTCTGGGCCCTGGGAGAGAGGACAGCCCTCGGGATTGGAGCACACCCTGTGACCTCTTGGCTGTGGGGAACAATCAGCCATTCTGTCCAGAGGAGCCCAGCTACCATTCACACCAAAGCTAACAACACTGGGACCGGACGTCATTCACCTCTGCTCAGTGCCATGCATGCCCCGGTTCGGCCAGCAGCGGGTGGGGCCCTGCAGTCTCGGTGCCGAGAGCAGGGCATACATGAGCCGGGAACATCTGTGTCCAGCTCTTTGCATGAGAGGCTGGGGCAGGGATTGGCCTCTCCTGCTAGTAAGGACACCCAGCACAGAGAGGCCGAGGCCCATGCCACAGGGCACACTGCTGAATGGCAGAGGCTGGAGTGGAGCTGGGGGTGCCACTGAGAGGGGTGGGGGTGGGTGAGGGTGTCAGTCCAGCTACTGGCAGCCAGGAGTGGGCTCAGAGGCACTGAGCACCTACTGGGTGCCAGGTTCCACACTAGCCATTTCAGAAACCGGGCTGCAGCTCAGAGAGGTTGAGCCAGGTGCCTCAGCACACACAGCTGCTGCCCCTTGACCCTCTCCTCCTCTTCCCAGCTGACCCTCCAGTCTGAAGGTGCATCACCAGCATGCAGGAAAGGCAACAGATGGGGCCCTCCAGAGACCCCAGGTGGGGGGCTTGGCGGTGTGTGTGGATGATCTTCTGACAGCTTCCTGGAGGACAGACAGCATTGGGCTGGGCCTTACGTGGGTGGTAAACCAGCCCCTCGCATCCCAGCAGGTTTTAGCAGACTCAGGCCTCTGTCAGGACCCCACAATGGCAGGTCTGGCCCATTCCCTGTGCCTGTCCATTTCCCAGAGGGCCGTGAGCCTGCTTATTGCTCTGCCCCCAGAACCCAAGCACAGGGCCTGGCACACAGGGGCCCTGGAGGAGCGGGAGGCAGAGAGGAGGGGTGGGATCACGTTGCTGGGGAGTAGAGGGGTGGGTGTACAATTTTCCTTGGACGAGAGACGCTGGGAGCCGAGGCACCTTGTGCCCAGGGAAGGGTGGGGAGCGGAGGAGGACAACACTGGTGAGGCAGCTCTCAGCAGGCATAAGGGTCGGACTTCACTGCAGACAGAGGGACCTGCTGGCCAAGTGTGCGGTGGCAGCTGCCCCTAGCTCTGTGGCCCTGAGACCCTAAGAGTCCACTGATGACTCCACTCCACTGAACTCTGTCCGGTGGCTCCCGTCTGTCCCACCCCACCCGAGGCCTGAGGAGGGGTATGCTCCTCCTCTAAAAGACCATGCCAGCTCCTCACACAGCCGTCCTGGGGGCGCAGAGGCTTAGAGCCCAGCTGCCAAAAGACCTGGGGGTCATTCGCACCCACGCCAGAGGCCCCTGGAGAGAGACACCCCATGGTGGCCAGCTCCACACTGCACAGCAGGGTTGTGGAGGGTGGAAGTGGCTCCGTGTTTGGGCCTCAGGGGTTCTTTCGGGTTTATTTTTGGTTATTTGCTTGCCCATTTCACGGGCCAGAAACCTGACATTCAGCGAGGCCAAGCGGCTTCCGAGTCAGAGTGAGGACATGTCACCATCCGGGCTTCCAGCCAGCCAGGCGGTCAGACCCCAGAGCCATCCTGTCTCCACCTGTGGCCCTGAGAGACCCCATATGCGGCCTGAAACCAGAGCCCTCCCCTGGGGGGCGACCACAGCCTCACCCCACCTGGCCACACTCGGCTCTGCGGTTTCCCAAGGGCGCCACCGGCGGCAGCTCTGACCGTAATGTCCTCCCTCACCCCCCAGCACCAGGGGAGGCCAGCCCACTTCCCCACCCAGCTGGGTCTTAGAGGTCCTTTATGGAAGAGGGTGGCTGAAGTCCAGGTAAACCCTTGGTTGCCCCTCCCCAGCCAGCCTCCCACGCCACTCATGGCACACTGTTTCAGCTTTATTTTATTTCCTCTTATAAATGGGCACAGCACGGGAAGCGTTAAAAAACAGAACCAAAAATGGAACAACAGAAAGGAAAGGGGGAAACCAGTTCCTTCACACGCAGGGACAGGTGCGCGCCCCCTGGGGGCACTCCGGCCTCTTCCCACGGTACACCTCTTTCCCCTACTAAATGCTGGGCCACGGACTTGGGACAGGGCTGGTTAATAAACGGGTTATGGGAATGTGGCAGGGGCAGGGACGGCCTGGGGGAGGGAAGGACCTCATCCCCCACCCGACCTGGGAGGGTTCTTGGGGGCTCTGTACAGAGGGGAGCACTCTCAGGGGCTCTCTGGAGCCTCGCTGCCTACAAGAAGTATTTACATGCATTAGCCACACAGACCCCCAGCACGCTTGGCCATCAGCCCTCAGAGGGCAACCCAGTAGAATATGGACGACTGAGCCTGTACATGGTGGGTAGGCACCTATTTACAGACAGGAGGTGTGGGAGGCAAGCCCTGGGGCCCATCCACACCCTGGGGAGGCAGCCACTCCTGCGCTCAAGACCCTCCTCCTGGAGGCCCAGATGGACAGTCAGGCTGGCCAAGCCCAGGTCTGGTCTGAGACTCCAGCCCCTGCCCACAGGCAGCCCTGCCCAGCCCTGGTTTGCCACCAGATGCCCCAGCACTCAAGAAGGAGGGTCTTATAAGACTCAGATCCCACACCTCCAGCCCCCTGGGCTCTGGCCATCATGCCTCGGGGTGGAGTGGCCACCCTCCACCCCTGCCCTAGAATGGCCTTGTCCCCAGGCCTGTAGGCTGAAGTTTGCCTTGGCTGCTTAGGCAACCAGGGTCCCTAAGTTCTTCTGCCCCAGAACCCACACACCCAGGATGTGTAGCCTAGAGGACTTCCCGGGAGCACCAGGGACCGGGAGCTCTATGGGCAGCCCCCATCCACCCCCCCAATCATCTCCAGGGTCCACACCACACCTGGGAGAGTTCCCCCAACCCCCACCCTCAGATGGCTTGCCGAACTGGGCTGGCAGAGGGTACCAGGCTCCATGAGAAGAGGCTGGTCATGTCTCGGGTCCAAGGCTCTGGGAACAAGGGTTCAGCCTGCGTTTTCAAATGCTCAGGCCACAGAGGTGAGGCCAGTGTCAGGAGGCAAAGCCCAAAAGCCCGATGAAGATCAGCGCCCGAGGCAGGAGGACGGCCCACTGGGGTCTGTATGCTGACCAGGCCACTCCACCTGATCCAGCTGGCCCTGTGGTGCTGGACTTGGCCCCATGAGGCGCCTGAACTTTCAGGTGCTCAGGTCCCCTCTTCCACACTCCCTGGCTTCTCAGCCTTGGCCTGCCCAGGCCTTCAAACCACCAGCCCACCCAAGCAGTAGGGCCGAGGGAGGCAGGGACTTGGGGTCTCCACCTCTCCTGCCCTAACCCTCCTAGCAGAGGCAGATCAACTGTGCTGGGCCCCAAGGCACCTTCCCCCATCCCTCCTCAAGGGCTGGGTTCTTCATAAGCCTCCAGGCCCTGCCAAGAGGTACTTCAGGTCTACAAAAGGGGGTCCAGCCCAGGAGTGGGGACCCCCCCCCCGGAGCAGATGGGCAGAGGGAGGCCTCCCACAAGTCCCTTCCTCACCATGCAACCAACAGAAACCAGCTGCCAGGGAGAACGGAGAAGGGGCCAGAGGGAAGCTGGGTTCCTGCCTGGGTCAGACTGGGGGGCGGGGGAGGACCGCCAGCCAATCACCATCCACACCACTTCCCTTGGACTACAAGTGCCCGCTGAGTACACCCTCCTTGGGAGGGAGGGGCGACCCTCCATTTAAAATATCTACAGAAAGGACCCCCACCTGTGAGGTGGCCCAGCTGGGGGCAGGCTGGGGGCCCTGCTCTGATGTCTCAGCCTGTCCCCAGGGCCTGGGGTCGCTTCTCCAGATGGCTGGTCCAGCTAGGGGCCACCTTGCTGAAGTCAGACTGCTGGCTCACAGGGCCAGCAGGAGGGAGGGCAGGTGGGCAGGCGGTGTCCACGAGGGGAGAGGCTAGCCAGACAGCAGGACCAGGCCCCGCAGGCACTTTGGAGACTTGATGTTCTGGGAGGCAGGGTCAGCTCCTAGCTCAGAGCAGAGGGAGGTCAGGAACCTGACCACATGCCCTGCACCCGGAAAGCCTAGCCACCCTCCACGGTGGGTGGGGGCTGCATCCCAGAGCCATCCTGCCTCTGCTCTGGAGAAGCCCCACCCCCCCAGGCTCCCAGCCAGTGCGGGGCTGGCCCCAAGGGGTGGGATGCAGGAAGGGGCGAGATTGGGGCCCAGTCCAGTGTGCAATGCCGAGTGGGGAGGGGTGCTTCTGGCAACTCCCCCCGCCCCCACCAGACCCCAGGCCCTGGGGGAGGGGGAGGTCATGTGGGCTGAGCGCATGGATCCATGTGAGACTGCGTCCAACCCGCACAGGGCTGGCAGCAACATGGGTGCGTGGGGTGGGACAGCCTGGGTCACCCAATATGGGCTGATTGTCCCGGCTTGGTCCGCCCTCCCCGTGAGCCTGGCAGCAGGAGGGGAGGGCAGAGAGGGACAGGGCGGCCACAGTGTCGCTCTGACGGCTGGCCTGCATGGTTGTCATTGTTGAGGGGGTCAAAGGGAATGCATGAGATTCTCTGGGAGACAGTGTGTGTGAGAGCGGCGGAGCAGCCAGGATGGTGTGTGATTCTGTCTCGTTGTGACAGTGTGGGTGGTGGCTGTACAGAGTCCTCTAGCAAGAGGGGCATCCCGGCACCCATCTTCCCAGAGGCTGCCGGGCCCCCTCAGGAAGACATATCTTCAGGGGAAGACTCAGGGGAGCTGAGCCTGTGGGAGCACTGGGTGGGGGTGGCCCATGACCCCAGCTAAGCTAGGGCAGGAGACATCCTCTCTGCAGACAGGAGCCCCGGAGCAGGAGCTGCCGTGCCCAGGTGATTCCATGGGCTGAATCTGCCAAACGCTTGCTCCGGAAGGCAGCCCGAGAGCCGTGCTGAAGCCGAGGCCAGCCTGGGTGGGGGCTGGCAGGGGACGGGCCTGTCTGAAGGCCCAGCCCTTCGTCCACCAGCCAATGGGGAGCTTTCTTCCTTCTGGACAGCCAGAGGTTGGAGCCCAGAGCTGGTGGGGGACAGGAGATGAGCTTAGGGGGACACAGTCTGGGGCAGATGGCAGTGCCCCCAGCCCCTGGGGAAAGTCTACGGCATCCTGGGCAGGCCTGGGAGAGGGCAGACAAGAGCTGGAGCCGGGCCCCTGCCAGGCGCGGACGCAGGCCAGCGGGGCACAGCGGGGACTGGGCGGCCCTGCGGCTCTGCTAGGCATAGAACTCCTCCTGCTTGTCGGGCTTCTGGTAGGTGACGCTGGCCTGCTTGGGCTCCTCCAGCGTGTAGCTGCCCTCGTCCTTTTTCTTCATGCGGTAGATGAGCAGCGTGACCAGGAAGGCGGCGAACAGGGCGCCCACCACCCCGCCCACAATCACAGCTGTAGAGAGGCAGAGGACCCAGGTCAGGCCGGGCTGAGTCTGGCCAGGTGGAGGCCTGGGGAGGACCGGGAGTTCCATGATAGGACCTCCCCAGCCCTGCCAGGCCCCCTGTGTCACCCCCCAGCAGGCTCAGCGGACGCCCCAGTCTCATCAGCAGGCTTGACAAACCCATTCGAGGCCACTCTGACTCACAGCAGGGGCTCTCAGGGTCTACCAGCGCATCCCCGGGCCTCGCTACTGCGGAGCCACTGGATGGGGTTGCGGCTGAACGCTCACCCATTCAAAGCAAAACCAAGTTCACGGCCAGCGAGTTGATTCTGACTCAGCAACCTGAGAGCACAGGGCTGAACTGCCCCTGCAGGTTTCTGGTCTGTACATCTGCACGGGGCCAGAAAGTCTCCTCTTTCTCCCACAGGGCGGCTGGAGGGTTTGAACCACTGACCTGGCAGTAAGCAGCCCAATGCGTATCCCACAGTGCCACCAAGGCTCCCTCAGTTAAATGAGGCCACGTTTATTACATGTTTGGGGAAGAGTTTATCTGGGGCCTGGCAGGCACCTCAGGATGGACCAGGAGGTGCCTTGCCTGAGGCCCCGCCATTCATGGGTGGGGGGGCCAGGATACAGGTCAAGTTTAGACATGCCCAGGGGCCTGGGGCAAGCCAAGGCAAAGTATGGGGCCAGAGATTACAGTCAGGGGGCGAAGTCCACGGGGGTCCCTTGCAGGGCTCCAGGAAGTAGGGGCGTGAGGGCACTGAATTAAAAGTGGGAGGTGGAGACCGCTTCAGGCCCCAGCAGGGGGCAGGGCTGTAGGGAAGGAATCAGAGGTCCGGCCTGGGAGCCGGGTCTCCAGCTCTCCCTTCCTAACAGAAAACCCCAGTCCCTCCCTCCCTCTCTCCCTCCTGGCTAGGGGTAGCCTGCCCCCAGCTCACAGCTCAAGGGCTTGTGCGTGAGCCAACCCCGGACCTTACCTACGAGCACCTCCTTCCGCTCCAGGATGCTCTTCTGAGGCAGCTGTGCCGCCGAGCTGCCCGAGTCGATGGCATTGTCCAGGAGGCCAGGGCCTGGGCGAGCACCTTTGGGCAGCACCCCAGGCGGAGGTGAGGGTTTGGCCGCAGGTGCTCCCACGGCCACCACCTCATTGGCTGAGTCTGGCTGCGTGGTCTCCTCCTCGGGCAGCTCAAAGTCCCCGCTGGGTCCCCCGCTCACGGGCACCTCCGGTTCATCCCGGGCCGTGGTCAGGAAGGACTCCGGAGTTGGGGTCTGCAGGGAAGGCGGCATGAGCCCAGGAGCCACAGGCAGTCCCACCTCCCCCACCCCCCAGCCCACGAGCACGACTCTGCCCCATGCCAAGCACTTACTATGTGCCAGTGCTTCACTGTACTAAGTACTTACATGCCTTTTACCCTCATGACACCCTCCTGAAAACAAGCCCCTTGCCACTCAGTCAGAAGAGCGCTGTCCCTTCAAGCTGGTGAGAGACTAAATCCTTATGGGAGTGATGGCGCATCTTTCTCCCAGGCAGGAGAGTTTGTGACTAGGCAGTTAATAGCTCCAGGTATAACCAAGGAGGGTTCCTCTCTAATTTACAGAGCAGGGAATAGGCTCAGAGAGGTCCAGTGACTCCCCCAGGGGCAAACAGCTAAATGGTCAGAGTTTGTAACCTACACATTACAAATGCCACCTGTGTCCTCACCCTGGCCACATCCCATCCTCATCCCAGCCCATCCCTCCTCTCTATGGTTGCCTCAGTCACAATCCGTAGGAGAGTCCCATGGAGACTGCTCGGTGTGACAGTACTTGGACCTGGTCCCTAGACCATATGTCTGGGGTAGAGGTGAGTGCTTTGCCTAGGGGTCAGTACAAGAACATCACCTCTGGGTATGATGTCCTTGGGGACAGGTGTTCAGGGGACCATCCCAGTGACCACAACTCCTGATGGCTCCCAGGATGCAGAGTGAGGCCAGAGCTGGGACCCATGAGACTACATGGGGGTGGGGGTGGGGGCACAGCATAGATGGGTGAGGTGAGGGTGAGCCCAGTGTGTGTGGAGGCTCAGGTTCCAGGCCCTGTCATTGTTCCCCCGCCTACTGGTCCAAGTCTCTGTAAGAACACCAGGCAGCAAGCTGCTGGGAGGGGCAAGGGAAGGGCCCATGTCCTGCTAGGGCCCAAGACTTCAGGGATGGCCAAGGGGCTGGAGGGCACCAAAGCCGGAATCCCTCCCTCGGCTTAAGCTCTGCTATCAGTCCTCGCTACGCCCCTCCTCTCACAGTCCCTCCTCCCACAGCAGGGCCAGCCTCCCTGTCCCACCCCCCCTTGATCCTCCCCTGCACCTGGACGCCTGCCAGTCTCCACCATCTTCCCCCAATCCCCACCAGCCATCCACTCCATCCACTCTCACTGCACACAGACACGCTCCTACACACTCGCACTCACACACCACATCACACCAGACACACTCACGGACACCCTCACCTCCCATACACACTCACAGCCACCCTCACACACACCCACACTCTCATGACGTGGCCACACTCACACACCCAAACACACTTATACACATATTCGCACAGTCACGTCCTCATGACCCACACTCACCCATACATATCCTCCCACACTCACCCACAGATGTAGGCACACTCATACTTGCACACACATCCACATATTCACACGCACCCACTCTGATATCACACACTCCCATAGCTATCTCCGCATGCTCTCATACACACACATTCACTCACAATCAGACTTGCACTCACATGTAGACACACTTGTACTCGCACACTCACATCCACATATTCACAAGTACACACATCCTCTCTCTCTCTCTCTCATGCATGCACGCATGTGCACATTCACTCACTCCCAACCCGCAGGAGGAGCTCTGAGCCGACAACCTGGAGTCCTGGCTATGAACTGTGAAAGCTTAGGGACACATCTCCCATTCTGTGTCCCAGTTGCCCCATCAGGGCAGGGGGCAAGGGGGTGGATACCTAGAGGACTAAGGAGATGGCACAGGGGGAGTGCTTAGCACTGAGCATGCCACAGACATGAGATCTATTTTTCCCAGAGAGCCCGCTCCGATGGTTACTACACATACCAGTATGCATACTATACTATTCTGTGGTCCAGCCATACACAAGGTTGTCAATAGTGGCTACAGCTAAGATGACCAGGCCCATTCTAAGCACTCTGGATGTAGCAGCATGCACAATCCTCGCACTGCCCTGCTGTTTCCTCCCTCCCACAAAGAGGAGAGCAAGCGCTCTGTGGTTACTCTGCCAGCGTTCACAGCACTAAGAAGTGGCAGGGGAAGAAGACCCCAGGCCCAGCTGCGGATTCTGGACACTGCTCTTAGCCCAAACGCAGATCCGCCCGACCCCACCACTAACACATGGGCACCTAGCCCCCACCCCCATGTCTCGCCCCAGCATCCTGAAGCCCAACCACCCAGCCTGCTCCAGTTCTGTCACCTGAGCACCCAGCCTAGCCCATCCTACTGAACCTCCATCTACAGCCTCTGCACCCACCCCCGTGCCCGACTCACTGTCTGCTTAGCTCTGGCCCAGCCCTTGCTCCTAGCCCATCCCCCTTGCCCTCCCTGATCCAGCCTGGCCCTCCTGGCCCTCCTGGGCAGGCCATAGTCTTCCTCCTCTGCTCCCACTCCCTCACCTGAGCCACCTCTGTGGGTTCAGGGGCCACGGTCCCCAGGGGCAGGGTGCTCCTCTCAGAGACAGCAGGCTCCTGGGTGGTCACTGGCCTGGGAAGGGCTCTGGGCCTGGAGGTAGCTGTGCTGACCAGCCTGGGCGTGGGGGCTTCTGTGTCCAAGGCGGCCACAGTGGTAGGAGGTGAGGGTGCCGCTGGGGTGGTGGCCCGAGCCGTGGCTGCTGTGGTCAGCGGAAGGGGCAGAAGCCTCTGCACACCGGTGGTCCTTCCAACAGCAGTAGTGGCCGTGGACGGCGGTGCCACAGGGGCGGTGGGGGTAGCAGTGGCCAGTGTAGTGGGCACAGTGGGAGCCCCTGTGGTTGTGGCAGCAGTGGGGGCCACGGTGGAGGCCATGGTAGTAGCTCTCTGGCTGGGCTCTCCGGGGACCTCAGTCACCACCAGGATGCTGGTGGCTGGCTCCTGGGTGGGGCGCTCAGAGGGGAGCTCTTCAAACGGGGTGCCCACAGGCTGGATGTCCGTGGTGGGCAACACAGCAGGCGTGGTAGACACTGCCAGGGCCACTTCTGGGCTGAAGCGCATGGCCGTCTCAATGCCCGACTCCTGCTCGAAATCTGGGGGGGGGTGGGAGAGGGAGAGAGCTAGGGAGCTGTGAAGTTGTCAGGGGCACGAGGAGCCCACGCAAGCAAGGGCTGCCAAGACTGGGGACTCCTGTTCCCTTCCTTTGCCCAGCCCCCTCACCCCCTCCCCACCACCCCGAACAAGACAGGAGAAGGGGCAGGGCACAGCATGGCCAAAGGCTGACGGGTCTGGCTAGTAGATCTTCCTTACCT